TATATATATATATATATATAAAAATTTGATAAATCTCTTGTTGCCAATACTTCAGCAAGTTGTAATAACATAAGGATTTTTTATTTCAGAATTAATTTGAGCTGTTGTCTTTATGTATTTAGTTATAAAGAATAAACTTACCACTGTCATTCAGATTATGGTTTGTTTACTGTTATGTTGATATAATGAAACCATAAATTATTTTCAAAATATTCAAATATTATATCTCTTTTATAGAAATCTTAAAATTTAAATTATCTTTTTAACTAATAATTTATATAAACAAGAATCCTTAGCAGAATTTACCTCTAGTCTGTAAACTAACTTCTTTTTTAATGCATTACTAGCTGCAGCATTAGTGGCTGTTCTCAATTCTTCTGCAGCTCGACGGAGAGCAGCTTGTGAGTCCGAGTCATGAGGATTACCAGCACAACCCTGTTAGAAAAAATACAACATAAGTATGCAGGATGAGCTTCAGGCTTCCAATGTAACTATGAGTTAGGAGAAATATAATAGGTCTATTTTAAGTGTTACAGATCATTAAAACATCACCTACCAACCACATGTCAATAAAATATTGTACTGTAATCATGTTAAGTAGTTCTTTGTGCTATCTACAAATGTTGTAAAGATTAACAGCTTTATAAGCACAAATTAAGTAATGAAGAACAAACACAAATTTACAAACATATGAGGTTGATTACCCCGACATGGCACGTCAAAACTAGCTGGGTAATCAACTTCATATTTTTGTAAATTTGTGTTTGTTCTTGGTGACATAATTTGTGCTTATAAAGCTGTTAATCTTTACAACGATTGTACTGTAACTTTATTATGTTACAACTTCTGAAGCACTCGCTGAATTATCTTTTTACTCTGTAAATCTGAGAGGTGCAATAGTACTTATTATTATTAATTTTGGTTCTGTTTTTCTTCTTCTTTCTGTAATTTTGATTGTTATTTCATAATAAGGATGCTACTGATGTTTATTTCATGATTTACATCCACATTAGCTCCTATGTTAATTTCTATTTAAAGTAACCCATGCTATGCTTGACAGAAGTAACCCACACTGCATTTGACAAAGTAATACATGCTATGCTTGACAAAGTAACCCATGCTATGCTTGACAAAGTAACCCATGCTATGGTTGAGAAAATAACCCATTCAACACTTGACAAAGTATCCCATGCTATGCTTGACAAAGTAACCCATGCTATGCTTGACAAGGTAATCCATGCCACACTTGACAAAGTAACCCATGCTACACTTGACAAAGTAACCCACACTACACTTGACAAAGTAACCCACACTACACTTGACAAGATAATCAATGATATACTTGGCAAAGTAACCCACGCTACACTTGACAAGATAATCAATGATATACTTGGCAAAGTAACCCACACTACACTTTACAAGATAATCAGTGATATATTTGGCAAAGTAACTCCCACTAAACTTCACAAAGTAACCCAAGTTATGCTTGAAAAGATAACCCATGCTAAGCTTGCCAAAGAAACTCACGATACACTTGACAAAGTAATGCATGGCATTAATCTAAAAAGTAATATGAAAGAATATTTTTTCAGATTGTGTTATCCATGTTATCCACCTTTTTAAATCTTGTTTTAGAATTTCTTCATACTTCATTTTAAAAAATAAATTAAAAATTATAGTGTTCAAAATTGTTTTTATCACAACTTAAATATTTAAGCTGACATTTTACGTCACTTTTTCTACACAAAAACTATGATTTACACATGACACTTTTTACACAAAACTATGATTTACACACGACACTTTTTTACACAAAACTATGATTTATACATGACACATTTTTACGCAAAACTACAAGTTGCATGTGACACTTTTTACACAAAACTATGATTTACACATGACACTTTTACACAAAATTGTGATTTACACACGACACTTTTTTACACAAAACTATG